AAAACAATGCATTTACTTAGTGTAACAACTTCACTTTAAATGAGTATCATTTTTTTTCTTGCCTCAGTAATACCCATTTCCCTACAAAACAAAACAAAACAACAACAAAAACAACTTGTGAACAATGTAAATTGAGCTACCCCCTGGAAAGATAAATAACACAAAACCAACTAAATGAAGAGCAGTAGAGAGGAAGCAGAAAGAAACAAGGAAGGACTGGGGCCAACAGATGGCAACTCTCACTTAGTTGACCACAGCTCGGGTCCCGGAGGCTTCAAACTCACGCCATGCCTGTGTGCATGTGTACTCAAAATCCCAAGAGGTGAATGGAGGAGAAGGAATTATGGTGTGGCTATCCCCCACGAGGGGTGATAAGAGGTGAATCTCAAAAAAAAAAAAAAAAAAAAAAAAAAAAAGAAAAGAAAAAAAGAAAAGAAAAAAATTATTGAAGGACTTAGGAAAAATCAACAGCAGCAAAAAAAGACAAAGGGATTAAAATATCAGTAAGACTTTTGTGGCCCTAAAGCAAAATCTACATAGTAGATATTCACAAATAATGAAGTTAAATTCAAGGATTAAAGGAGTGAATTTTTTAACCTGGATTGGTTAAATCCATCGGGTTTTCTCCCTCCACAATTTACGGGTTCCTCATTTGGCAGAAGGGTCAAAATGCTACTGAGATTTACGACAGTTAAGTATCTGACAGTTAAGTATCTCATTCGAGGACCAGAAGTAAATTCAATACTCAACACCTATCAAGGACTATCAATGTACAAGTCCCTGTGAATAGATTACTTTTCAAACTATATTTAACTTGAGTTCAAGGACTAGTGACAAAAGGCTGGGGAATAAAGAGAGGGGTATTCCACAACCCTAATGCAGAACTCATTTGTGATTTAAAAAGATACTTTTTCCCTGTCAGCCTTTGCACTAAATAAATAAGCAAACACATCGTTCAGGTACAGCCAACTCCTTATCATTCCTACATATCCCTCCTCCCTCCTTCATATACAAGCTCTCTTCTTCCCATCAGTTTTCTAATGGGAAAAAAGAAAAAAGAATTATTTTAGTTACCTTTATTTATTTTAATTTGACCAGAGAGGGACAGAGTGAGAGAAAGGAAAAGTGAGAATCAAGCAAGGCGCCAGGTCCGGGACTTGAAGCACTGTCGGCCATGTGGGAGTCCAGTGCCCTTAACCACCATGCCACCTGCCAGACTCCCAGTAGTTTTCTTGACTTTAGTTCTATTCAATTCCCTTCACCTGCTTACATTCATGCCTTCTATTTTCATATATGTTAGAGTTGTAAAAACAAAGCAAAGCGTTAGGGACAGCAAAGTCTGAAAATTTACTATCCAGTCACTTTCTCAATCCCTGATCTAAGCTGTTAATAAGAGGTCTTCCTCCCTTCTGTTTAAAGTAGCTAAATGCAGGAACTGACATGGAATATACAAACTGTATCTAGGAGGACAAAAGGTAGATTCCCCTAGCTCTAAACCAGAAAAAAAACCCCTCTGATGTCAGGCAAAAGTAAGTAGTTCCTCCCTCTTGAGGTGTCAGCAGGTTCTTCTAGAGGCAAGTTTTGTGGTTTCCCATAGGCCCAAGTTTTCTGTTGGGGCTCTAAAGAAAAAACAAGCAGCTTGACCTCCCTACAGAGCAGACTTCCTGGGCCTGACCATCTGCACAGAAAGGAGAGGGAATGGAGTGAACAGGTGATGAGAACTAACCATATTCTCTATAGTGACCTGTTTATTCCCAACTAGAAAAATGACACCAGTTCCTAATGCACACCTGGAATAAATGGTACAGGGGTGGTGAGAAAGCAGGATCAGTCAGGGCTATTCATGTTAGCTTCTACAGTTCTTAGAGAGTTATTACCCTCCAGTTAGCTGAGTAAGACGTTAGCTCTGTCTCTAACGCTTCAAGTGAGATGACATTTTGAAGACCAGAACTTAAAAGTAGAGAAATACTAACCTTTAGGCATTTCCCAGCAGAGTTAAACCAGAAGTCAAGACAGGAAATTGTAAGTCAAATGAACACATGTCAAAGTCCCCAGTACTGGATGACACACTAGCTAGTTGGCCTGACAGGCACTGGCAAACATCCATTAACTAACAGTGCCAGACCTCTCATTCTTATTCCAACCCGCTACAACACAACCAAAAGCTTCAATTTTTGTCCAGAAACCCTTGGACACTTAATCAAATAACATTAGTATAAAACATGCCATGTCATGAAGCTCCTTGCTATTCATGATGACTCAGCAGCTGCTGCAGAACATTCAGTTGACAGCCTAGGATATTAGACAGCAAGCAGGTAGTCTACAAGCCCACCGCGTTCCAGCAAAACCTAAAGAAAGTCCTATTTTAACGTTAAAAGAAAAAAAAAATCAGTAAATAATAGACCATTATTTTGTCTATACTTGAGTGCCCTTCTATGGTAGTTTCTGCCAATATTAATACTTAGTGTTAACCAAGAAAACCCTAAACAAAACCCTAACCATCTCTCACTCCTATTCAAAAGCAAGCATGTATTTTCTTTTTTAACTAAATGACCAGAGCAAGAAGCTGGAAGGATTATAGATAGGGGACAATGACAAATGAGCAAACCTTAAAGCAAATCTACACAGCCTGAAATGATAGTTCTAAGACAACTTAGACCTTAGGTGTTATGTTGTTAAGACATCACCTCCCCCAAATTAGATTTCTATCTTAGTACATTTAAAAATAAGCTGTGATTATAACTTTTGCCACCTGAAATACATTAGCTCCCTTCTAATATGTCCAGCCATCCACTAATTTGTATTCAAAACATTTAATTTTTTCTATATGTAGTACAAGAAGATCTAAGAAAACCCGAAGATATTAATTCCTAGGAAAAATGAAAAACACATATGTCTAATTTCCATACTACAGGAGGATTAGGTTAAATGACCAGGTTTGTGATCTAAATTGTAATCTTAAATCTGCCTGCAGATATCTGTTCTTCACAAAGAAATGAGAAAACTAAGCACTTCCTGTGGATACCTAAAAGAAAACTTGTAGCGGCTACAACCATTCTAACCATTCCTAGGAAATTAACCTCGCATTTTCAGTACAATTTTTACTCTTAAGTTTCTCTGGAATCTACTTTAACAATCTGCTGAAAATGGAGCAATTGAACACTGCCACGAAAAGTGTGCAGTCTGTGCTACGGTAAACGAGTAAGTCTACCTTTAATAGTACGCAACAAGTTATCAGACCCCTTCCTATTCTGTTCTCAACAAGTTTAAGGCACACGCTTTCCACTTCAGTTTCCCTGAAAAGTTTGAGAAGCGGCCTTATCAAAACAGGCTTTGAACATTTTCTTCTTCAATCTTCCTAACAAGCAACACTGCCAAAAAAAAAAAAGTTTTCTCAAAATCAAATACTTCATTGCAATTAAGATAAACTCGTCCTTATGAATGTAAGGACGCCTGTGGTGGCTAAACTGTAAGCCACGAACATTCCTGGAGTGTCAAAAAGTACCTAAACTTCTAGAATACGCCCCATAATATTAAAATATTTGGTGTATGAGGTCAGAGCTGGAGTCCCGGTCAACAGTGGAGGAGGGCCAATTCCAGCCTCCAAAATAAAGGAGGGGGAGAGAGAAGGGGAGTGGGAAGAGTCACGCTGCGGAGAAAAGACGTAAGGGTGGAGAGGGACTTTCAAAATGCCCCAGTGCCACGGAAACTATCACCCGGTTAAGGGGGGGAAAATACCTAAGCCGATGCTGTCAGATCGGAGAAGGACACGGAGAACTAATTCGTGGGGTGAGACTGAGTTCTGCCACCCTCCGAGTCACGGCACACCGCCCCCTCCACGTGCCCGGAGCCAGTAGACTCCAGGCAGCCCCCTCCCTTCACACTGAAACTCGGAACACCAGAAACGCACAGCAAGCGCAGGGGCACCGGCACATAATCTCCTCGGCCACATCTCCCTTCTCCCTCGAGAGGACGTAATACCCTCGAACTCCCAGTCCCCGCCAAAAGGGAGAAACGCGCGCCTCGTGGGCCGGGTACTTCTTTTCCCGCCCTGCGCCGGCTCGGGAAAGCCCAGGCCCGGAGGGGAGGAGAGGCGGCCGGGATCACACGTGCGCGCCGCCAGGCCGGGCCCGTCTCGGCTCACTTCCCGTCGCCACCCCGGCGGCCCCAGCTCCCGCCGCCGCACTCCGGCCTTTCCGCAGGCCCTGCGGTCCGCTCCACGTGGGGGGCCGGGCCTCTGCACTGCCTGCTCCCTCCCGCCGAGCTCCCCAACCCGCTAGGCCACCGCGGCGTCGGGGTCCCGTACCTGGTGCTGTCGTCGCCCCTGCTGGTAAGGCTTAATTGGCCCCTGGTGGCAACGTCGCGTCCGGATCTTGCCGCCACCGCCCCCTCCTATTCCTCCGGCTCCCGAGGCCATGGCGGAGCCTCCGCTGCTTCCCGCTCCGGGGCTGCGGGGGTGGCGGAGGCGGCGGCCTTAACGCCCCCCCCGCCCGGCTCGGCCCGGCCCAAAAGTCCGCCCGCGCTGCCCACTCTGCGGGGTACAGGCCCACCAGGAACCGCGAGGCCGTGAGCAGACGCGAAGCGAGGGGACGCGCTGGCAGCAGGAGAGGGGG